CGCTCTACCCGGCACCCTCCCGCCGCTCCTCACGGACGCCATATCCAGCCCGCTCCTCACCGACCTCCTCCCATCCAAATTAACCTGCCCGAACTGACTCACCAGCTCATCCTCCCCACCCCCCCTCCCCAAACTCCCCCTCCCCAAACTCCCCTCAACCACCGTACTCCACAGCGGATTCGTCGGCGTACCCCACGAATCATGCTTCCGCCGCGTATACGAGCGGTCCCGGATCGCGCGCGTGGCCTCCTTGCGCACTCCTTGACCATGGCCTCGAGGATGTCGCAGCGCTCCTTGGCCGCGGCGGGCCCTGCTCCGGCATCACGTCCGGCGCGCGCCAGTTGTGGTAGAGGTTGCCGTGCGACTCGCGACAGCCGACCTTGGCCCGGGTGCGCGGCAAAGTACTGGCTGCACAGCAGGCAGGTCGGCTTGCTGCTGCCGATGTAGGCGCCGAAATCGGCCTCGTGGAAGAAGCGCAGCGGATCCTCGCCCTCGCGCTCCGCGGCGGCCTGCGAGGCGAGCACGGAGGCGAGGAGGTTGACCTCGGCGTGCACGATGGGGCGGAAGGAGTCGGACTTGGCGCGCTTGCGGATGCGATCGTCGAGCTTGAAGGCCTGCAGGTGTTTGGCGTGGCTTTGGTAGGCGTCGGCGATCTCCTTGCTGCGAGACATGCGGCGGATGATGCCTTTCCGCGTTGCGCCGGATGCCGGGCGGGTCAGGTTGGGGTTCGCTGGAGGGGATGTAGGTGACCTCGAAGTCGACGAAGAGGCGTGGCCAGAACTTGCGGGCGGAGATGAGGACTTTGATGGCGATGAAGTAGGAGAGGAGGCGGCCGAGGGCGTGGCGGATGTCGTTCCAGGGGCTGTCGACTACGTTATTGTCGCCGCGGGTCTTTTGCTTCATGTAGTCTTCGAGGGTGCGCCAGTAGTGCAGGTCAATGGTCTGGAGGAGGGCTTCGGCGATGGCGGACAACTTATGGGGTTGTAAGTGGTTGTCGTGGTTTTCTATGAGGCCCTGGGTTTACTTACACTCCTCATTGTTCAGCTGTGAAGCACCTCTGGCCGCTTCAAGATGTGGGCGGAGACTGCTCAGTGCTTCGGCAACCGACCTGCCTGGAAGTAACAATCAGAACTGACGTGACGCAGGGCAACAATCATCGTAGGTATGTGATCAAGGCTACTCACCGTCAGGCGTCTCGCTCGTAGTAGCAGATTCGATGCAGAAACCTAGCTGATTTGCCTCAACTAGCTCGTTCAGATAAACCTCAATTCGAGGGCGGTTGAACCCGAGGACCTTGCGCAGAATGTCAGAGGAGACGGTGGCCATAAAAGCCTTATCATTGATTTGTCCGTCTGTGACATGGCCGAGGACGTTCAGGATGTCGGTTAAGTATTCCGTGGTCGCGGCCAGCTCACGGCTATCCCGCCTATTGGACGCTAAGCGGTACTCAATGCTGCCCGGTTCAAGAGCCACAATGGCGCTGACAGTCTTGCCGAGGTCTTGCTTTTTTTGGCTGTCGCATATCTGACTGAGCTTATTCAGAAAACAGAAGTAGACCTGCTTCGGAGACTTTCCCGTGCTACCTTCGAGGTCGGGCTCCACAAGGCTCTTGTCTTGTCCGTAGACCCCTTTGAGGGCAGATAACAAGATGATGGGCTCGTAAAACCGCCTCCCAAGGCTTGGGGGAAGGGGTACTGGGTCGGACATGTCGAGGCTGTTCACTGCGGCTGACTAGCCGAGCAGACAGGAAATTCAGGAAAGCCAAGGAAGCGGGGAAAATGGGGATTTGGAGCAAACTAGGAGTGGGCAGACTGGACTGAGTCAAGAATTCAAGAATTCAACATTTGTCCTTGTGCCGATCACCTACAAGAAACCACCAACATCAGGCCTTTATAGGGATTCACCATCTAGAGACGACTGATGCCTTTTCTTGGCTGTTGGTTCTTTCCATCTTCGATGTTTTGCCTTGAGGCAGCCTCGTCATTGCTCAGAGGGGACCGCATGGTGGGTGACACGGATACCGGCCCGGCCGGGGCCCGGAGGCGTACAAGGCTCTCTGGGTAGCCGCTGCTTGTGAGGACGTCCCGGTTAAGCGCCGAAGCAATCAGAAAGCCCAACAGACCACCCCTCGAGACCCCTCGGGCTTTTAAGCATTACCAACGTGTTCCAACAATTTTGGGCTCTCTGGGAGTCTGCCAAACTGCCTCCTACCCCCCAGCGCTGGTTGGTCCAGGAAAAGGGGGTGAGGGTCCAGCCAACCAATGGAACCCTTGTCCCATATCGCGCCCTCGACCTGCAGTGGGCCTCAAATGGCGGGCCTCATGGCGGCCTCACTGCGTCTTCCTCTTGGCGAGGCTCTCCGGTCTCAGTCTGGCTTCTCCTTCGCCCGCGGCGTTTGCAACATGACCGCGGGCCCAACGAGGCAGTTCCTGAGGGTCTATGCCCCTGCCCCACATCCCGTTTGCGACCGAGGAGCACACTGAGGAATCTCAAACGGGTTTAGGATATTTGAGAGCGACAATTGCCGCTGTGGCCAGTGCGGGTGGTCCTCCCACTCCACACGAGGTGCGGGCATTGATCCAGCTCCGCTTGTGTCCCCATCGAGTAAACTACCACGACACCACTGTCACACCGACGGTGATCCAAATCCATCAAACCTCCGTTCCTGACATTCTCTTGGTGGAGACGAGAGTCCGCTCGGCCCGCAAGAACCCTGCTCGACAACTCCCTTGGCTTATTTGTCTCGCGGCTCTGTGGAGCTGACGCAAGGTCTCGAGGATGGCCCGACTCCCCATGTAAGTATAATCCAAAGAACGCGCTTTGGCAACCACGGGGCTAACGCGAGGGCCACAAAGGCACTCGCCGGACGCACAGTGGCGGGATGACGACGTCGATGGCCCCGAGATTGGCTCCTACTGCCCCTCCGGGCGGGACGCGAACCTCTCGGCGTGGCTCGAGATGGGTGCGCAAGGACGTGCGCCATCGGATTTGTTGGGGGGTCAGCATGCCCACTATCCTGCCGCACAGGTTGGGGATGCCACCGTGGACCCCCAGCAACTCATGATCCAACCCAACGGCTTTGGCATGCATCTCCCAGGACAAGTCTTGGCGCTGACTTTGGCTCTACTTTTCTGGGGGGGCCTCTGGATACTTACCAGCTCGGACAGCTGGCATATTACGGCACAGAGCTTGCCGATACTCCCAACTTTCCGTCACTTATCAGATTCGCTCCCTGCTCTCCCGCTGGGGATTT